CCAGTCAGACTTCAGTTTCAAGTTTGAAAAAATTAAATTATGATTTAATGGAATATGCCTACACCTCTGTTCAACCTCACTGGAATATGATTGGCTGGCGTGCGTCATAAATACAGACGGACGTGTAGGAGAGTCAAGAGAGCCTTAGTCTGAGAGCTAAGTCTATAACGACGCCCATTGGGCTACGCCATTGATCTACACTTCTTACCTGCGACTACGACGCGTACCAGTCGATTACTGCTACCGTATTCTACTTGGTTATAGTAGCCAAAACCACTTAGCTACTTCGTTCAAATATATCCCTTTCCGAGACATATATCATATCATATATATATATATATATATATATATAGATAGATAGATAGATAGATAGATAGATAGATAGATATAATGAAATATGCATACACCTGTGCTCTCCCTCACTGGAATATAATTAGCTGGTGTCCGTCATAAATACCGACGGACGTATAGGAGAGTCAGAAGAGAGTCTTAGTCTGAGAGCTAATTCCATAACGACGCCCATTGGACTATGCCATTGATCTATACTTCTTACCTGCGACTACGACGCGTACCAGTCGATTACTGCTACCATATTCTACTTGGTTATAATAGCCAAAACCACTTAGCTCCCTCGTTCAAATATATCCCTTTCCGGGACATATAAAATTAATATTGACACTTTTGAATCTTATATAAGGGGACATAGAGGATGATGAGAGATATCCTCTTTGGTAGCAGTCTCGGTGCCAGTAACTGTAACAAATGACATCACTGAAGAATATTAAAGTTCTCAGCTTTTCAAAGAATACCAGGAACAAAGGAATTTGTCCTACCCACATCTGTTCTTGAAAATAACTGAAACGGTCGAAAGTAATTGAACCAAAAAGCCACACGGAACTTTGTAGAGTTTCTCCACAATTTTGATCCCAATACACAATACCTTATTCTAAAAATGTCAAAAATAAAAATGTATGTTATTCTGCTTTCACAGTTGAATACATGGTAGATGATACGCAGCTTTTATGTATAAACTTGTTTGTGTGGACATCTTACTTATTATAAAACGCAGATTGTGGGTGTGTGTATTTGTGTGTGTGTTTTGTGTATGTGTGTGTGTGTGTGTGTGTGTCTGTACGTTTATATATTGGATCGGATTTCCTACATTTTTAAACAGATTTCAACAAAACTTCACAGGACTATGTAAAATTACCTTGCGGTGGTTCTAACAATGCCGAAAATTGGAAAAACACAATTGTTTTTGCACGAAATCAATTTGAAAACACAATTAAGAGGCATCACGAGAATGAAAGATGGGCAACTCATATCGAGTTATACTTATTATAAAACCCAGGTTGTGTGTGTGTGTGTGTGTGTGTGTTTGTGTGTGTGTGTGTGTGTTCGTTTATATATGGGATCGGATTTCCTACATTTTTCAACCGATTTCAACAAAACTTCACTTTTTTTGGCAGGTAGTGTTTCTTATTGTCTTGCACACTTTTTTTATTTTTACATTCAGAACATCCTGATCAGAGGCTGTCGGATGTAGTTTATCGTCATACCCATGACCTGGATGTAGTTTATCATCATCCCCAGAACCTGGATGTATTTTTCGTCATGCCGAGGACCTGGATATAGTTTATCATCATACCCAGAACCTGGATATATTTTATTGTCATACCCATGACCTGGATGTAGTTTATCGCCATACCCATGATCTGAATGGACTTTATCGTCATACCCATGGCCTGGATGTAGTTTATCGCCATACCCATGACCTGAATGGACTTTATCGTCATACTCATGACCTGGATGTAGTTTATCATCATACCCAGGACCTGGATGTAGTTTATTATCATACCGAAAACCTGAATGGACTTTATCGCCATACCCATGACCAAGATGTAGTTTATCGTCATACCCAGAACCTGGATGTAGTTTATCCTCATGCCGAGGACCTGAATGGACTTTATCGCCATACCCATGACCTGGATGTAGTTTATCGTCATACCCAGGACCTGGATATAGTTTATCGTCATACCTATGACCGGAATGTAGTTTATCGCCATACCCATGACCTGAATGGACTTTATCGTCATACCCAGGACAGTCGACCGTTGTGTCCTTCAGCATTTATCACGTGCCTATCAATCCCAGTAACTTTCAAGAAATGAAACCCTTTATTTAATCTATTTAATTGCCTTTATTTAGTAGTAGCAAAGGGATTAGTCCAAAATGTAGGTTAAAAATTGGAGATACAAAAATCAAACAAGTACAAAAATCTGTCTAGGAGGCAATATTCTTGGTCCTGATCTGGCACCTCATCTTCAGTCCCCCCCATGTTTTTTCTTTAAATACTTTCATGGCACTGTTCGCCATGTTGGAGCTCTTCGCCATGCTACCAAGAATTTTTTTTAATTTAAGCGCATTACTAGACTGGTGATAAGGTCGCATCAATTTACAATTTAACATGGCTAGATGTAACCGTAAGTTCTATGCTGGTAGTTTCTGCTCTCTCACTTCTCGCTTGTGGAACTCTCTTCCGGCTTATCTCTGTCTGTCTGTCTGATGCGGCATTCACCCTGGGCGGATTGAGCCGGCTTCTTCCTGTTATGAGAAGAAGATTCTTGGGATAAATTACAGAAGTAGTGTACCCAGGCCTACTCGGATAACGTTCTTGCTTGCCGCGGATTCCCCACAGACGCAGAGACAGGAACGACAGAAGCCGCCGGTTACCGATACAGACGCTCCTTGATTTTCACCAGAGCCCTTTGTTAGCCGGCGTGTGTGTCAGACCTGTCCGCCTTGGTGGCCCTACCAGGAACGAAGTTCCGGCGGCATAGCTCTGACATTACCGTTTACACCCCACCACCGACTGTGAGGTAAGGGTTGGACTTGGGGGCTTACAGTACCAGGTGTTCCCAAGCGGTCCCCCATCTAAGTACTGACCTGGCTCTACGATGCTTAACTTCGGTGATCGTACGAGAACCGGTGTTTCAGCGTGATTTGACCGTAAGTCTCTGTTCCTAATTCTTCCACATCCAGTAACGCATTGTGTCTTAGTGGCTTTACTGCCTTGCTTGTGGAACTCCTTTCCGGATTTATGCTTTCAAGCCAACTTTTACCTTCAAAAATGACTAAGGGGGAAAATCTCCGACTGTTGCTGAATCAGTCGGCTTTCGATCCCAACTTGAAGCAATCGAAACAGACTGTGTGTGGATGACAATATATACGCACCCGAAAAAACTTAAATTCGATTGTGCAGTCTTGGAAGATAAGTGCGAATTTTTAAACAATGACTATTACTACTAATATTACAAGGCTCTTCCCCTTTCCTGAATTGAGCTCTCTCAGAACATGGCGCGTTTATTCACAGAATAAGTACGAAAAATTCGCCTTTCTTTCAACTGTGCGCCGATGGCTTAGGGGGAAATTAGCCGCCTGTTGTCGAATCAGTCGGGTTTCGACCCCAGCCTGAAGCAATCAGATGTCTAGCTACACTGATCAGCTATGTTACAGCGTAACGTTTTGTCTGCTGATGAGAATATATACGCACCCGAAAAACTTAAATTCGGTTGTGCACTCTAGGAAGATAAGTGCGAATTTGTAAACAATGACTATTACTACTAATATTACAAGGCTCTTCACCTTCCCTGAATTGAGCTCTCTCAGAACTTGGCGCGCGTATTCACAGAATAAGTACGAAAAATTCGCCTTTCTTTCACCCGTGCGCAGATGGCTTATGGAGAAAATAGACGCACGGTCCCGGCTTGATGCAACGGAATGTCTTCTTACACTGCTGAGCTGTGATACAGCGAAACATTTTATGTGTGGATGACAAAATATATATATATATATATATATATATATATATATATATATATATATATATTATTTTATTTTCCAAACAGACAAACTGTGTTTATGCAAATGTTATGTTGAATATGTGGTATTGTGGTGACTGTAGTAAGAATATGTAGTTTGGCGTCAAGAATATTATTTTTCTTGTAAATAAAGAGATTAAATACTGCAATCTCTGCTACATTTCTGGCCATTGAGGTGGAATCAAAGTGTAGTATCTGTTCTCCTCATCTCTAATAGCAATGGTAATATTAGCCGTTTCCTTATAATGAAACATTCGGCATTCATTAACCGAGCAGCCAGTGCTACTCTTTACGCTTTTCTTCATTCCCAGGCCATCGGGCTGGGATCAAAGTGTAGTATCTGTTCTCCTCATTTCTCATGGTAATGGTAATATTAGCTGTTTCCTTATAATGAAACATTCGGCATTCACTAACCGAGCAGCCAGTGCTACTCGTTACGCTTTTCTTCAAGCCCTGGCCATCGGGCTGGGATCAAAGTGTAGTATCTGTTCTCCTCATCTCTAATGGTAATATTAGCCGTTTCCTTATAAGGAAACATTCAGCATTCATTGACCGAGCAATCAGTGGTACTGTCGATCGATTTTTTTTTAAACTTTTTTTTTTTAATCTTTTTTTCTCTATATAATGCGGATTTATCCCTGCGAAACTCTAACCTTGGAGATGAATTGTTGAACTTTTTATTTATTTATTTACACTGACTTCAATTATGTAACGAAAATATAAGAAGAATGTATTTTCTTTTATCGTTTATGCAAGATATAACCACGCGCCCAATAAAAACAAACAAAAAAACAAAGAAAAAAACCAATTGAAAAATGATAATAAAAACCAAGGAGATTGATAAACAATCAATCAATATATATATATATATATATATATATATATATATAATAGTTGGTGAAAAGTTTCCAGTCCAACTCACATCCCCAAAATTTAAGGAAATATCACAACACAAAAAATATTTTTAAATCAGTTATTTCTTGGGCCGTTAGAAATATATATATATATATATATATATGTGTGTGTGTGTGTGTGTGTGTGTGTGTGTGTGTGTGTGGTAAAGAGTGCGAGCGTGTGTGTGCGTGTATGTGTATATATTGGGAGAGGGAGGTGAGAGAGTTAGGTACAGAAAAGGAAAATGAACGAAAGTGAATGAGAGAAAATTACAGATAGAGAGATAGAGAGCGTCAGGCAAATAGAACTGAAAAGATTCAGATAGATAGATAGATAGATAGATAGATAGATAGATAGATAGATAGATGTGAATAGACTGAGATAGATAGATAGATAGATAGATAGATAGATAGATAGATAGATGTGAACAAATTGAGATAGATAGATAGATATGAACATATTGAGAGAGATTGATATTAACACATTGAGATACATAGATTGATATGAAAAGGTTGAGATAGATAGATATAAACAAATTAATAGATAGATAGATATGAACAGAGTGAGATAGATAGATAGATAGATAGATAGATAGATAGATAGATAGATAGATAGATGTGAACAAATATAGATAGATAGATAGATAGAGAGAGAGAGAGAGATGTGAACAAACTGAGATAGATAGATAGATAGATAGATAGATAGATATGAACATATTGAGAGAGATTGATATTAGCACATTGAGATACATAGATTGATATGAAAAGATTGAGATAGATAGATATAAACAAATTGATAGATAGATAGATAGATAGATAGATAGATAGATGTGAACAAATTGAGATAGATAGATAGATAGATAGATAGATAGATAGATAGATAGATAGATATGAACATATTGAGAGAGATTGATATTATCACATTGAGATACATAGATTGATATGAAAAGATTGAGAGATATATAAACAAACAAATAGATAGATAGATAGATAGATAGATAGATAGATAGATAGATAGATAGATCTGAACAGATTTAGATAGATAGATAGATAGATAGATAGATAGATAGATAGATAGATAGATAGATAGATATGAACAGGCTGAGAGAGATATGAACAGGCTGAGATACATATGAACAGATTTAGATAGATAGATAGATAGATAGATAGATAGATAGATAGATATGAACAGGCCGAGATAGATATGAACAGGCTGAGATACATATGAACAGATTTAGATAGATAGATAGATAGATAGATAGATAGGTAGGTAGGTAGGTAGGTAGATAGAGAGAGAGATCTGAACAGATTTAGATAGATAGATAGATCTGAACAGATTTAGATAGATAGATAGATAGATATGAACAGGCTGAGATAGATATGAACAGTCTGAGATACATATGAACAGATTTAGATAGATAGATAGATATGTACAGTGAGATAGATAGATAGATAGATAGATAGATAGATCTGAACTGATTTAGATAGATAGATAGATAGATAGATAGATAGATAGATAGATAGATAGATAGATATGAACAGGCTGAGATAGATATGAACAGGCTGAGATAGATAGATAGATAGATAGATAGATAGATAGATAGATAGATAGAAGAAGACTGTGATAGATAGATAGATAGATAGATAGATAGATAGATAGATAGATAGATCCCAACAGTAATGAACCACTTGAAAGCATTTTGGCCACATATTTAATTTCTCTTATATTCGCCATTCTCTTAACGTTCGAAATATGTGTGTTTGGCGTATTTTTCCTTTCTTTTTTTCATTTTTCGTTTTTTGTTTTTTTTTTTCTTGCCCGTGTCTCGCACCTTCTCGACCGTTCGTCTGAAGCGGACGCTTATCAGCGGAAACATTGAATTCTGAGGATTAAATTGTATTAAAGTCACGAGAAACAGTTGGTGGGTCGGAGTGATCGGGACATCGATTTGGAGTGGTGTATCTGCACCGGGCGACCTCGGGCTAGCTTATTTTCGTCGTTATTAAAGAAGAGTGACGCCTATTGGATTTTTTCTTTGCCTCTTTCTTTTCTTTTCTTTTTTTCTTTTAAGCTTCAGCTAATTGAATGAGCTGACTTTTATATAAATAGACACTTTTCTTATGTAACTTTCCGGGCTTTCTTTGAACATAGTACTCATTTCGGGAGGTCTTCATTTTATTATTAAAAAGTAAGTTTAAGTTAACTAGTTTGTGGGCACAATTTATAATCCATCCTGGGTAAGACGATAAACTACATCCACGTCCTGGGTAAGACGATAAACTACATCCGCGTCCTGGGTAAGACGATAAACTACATTCGCATCCTGGGTAAGACGATAAACTACATCCGCGTCCTGGGTAAGACGATAAACTACATCCGCGTCCTGGGTAAGACGATAAACTACATCCGCATACTGGGTAAGATGATAAACTACATCCGTGTCCTGGGTATGATGATAAACTACATCCACCTCCTGAGCAAGACGATAAAATACATCCGCGTCCTAGGTAAGACGTCAAACTACATTCACGACCTGGGTATGACGATAAACTACATCCGCATCCTGGATAAGAAGATAAACTACATCCGCGTCCTGGGTAAGACGATAAACTATATCCAACCGTAAGGCCTCTAATCAAGAGGTTTTGAGGAGCGTGGAACCACCTCTTAATTGCTGGTGTTCCCAGGTCCACCCTGACTCAGGGTTATAGCACCTGTTAGGGTCCCAGCTATGGGAAAATAGTTAGCACCTAAACTGTGGTCAAAACACTATGAAAGTATAAAAATGGATTTTTATAGTAAAAAATACAAGCAATACATTTTTTGAAAAAAAATATTCCCAGCAATACATTTGTCTCTTGACAAAAACCCTCTTTACAAAAATACTTCAATGAAATCTGATCTACAAATTGATTTCATATAAAGAATACATATTCTATTCATACGAACCTCTTCAACAAATCTTGTCGGCATTAAATAATCCAGGTTCTTTGTTGATGGAGTGGATTTACTGTTTTACTATTTGTAGGAGAGGGTTATTGGTTTTTGTGAGGTCTGCTTTCTATCCGATTGTGGTAGTTTTTAGAGCTAGTTCAAGTCGGATTAGACCTCGGCCTCTTAAAGCTGCGTCCTGGGTAAGACGATAAACTATACCCAACAGCAAGGCCAATGATCAGGAGGTTTTGACGAGCGTGGGACCATCTCTTAATTGTTGGTGTTTCCCAGGTCCACCCTAACTCGGGGTGGTAGCACCAGTTAGGGTTCCAGCTATGGGCAAATAGTTAGCACCTAAACTGAGACCAAAACATTATGAAAATATAAAAATAGGTTTTAATACCAGAAATACTGTCTAAAAAATTGTTACCAGCGATAAATAATTTCCAGCAATACATTTTTGAAAAAAATATCACCAGCAATACATTTTTGAAGAAAGCATATTACCAGAAATAAGAAATTTGTCGGCTTTAAATAACCCATTGTGGTTGATATGCCGTAAAACAAACCAAACCAAACCAAAATAATGAATTTATAATATAAATATAAACAACCCACTGACTTTGCGTCTGGATTTATGTTCATCGAAGTTCAATTTAACGTTTCAATAGAATGGCATCTGAGTGTATCCTCCTTTATGCAAATATGGAATGAATAATATTTTGATGACTTCTTCATCTTGGCTACGAACGACAGAATAGATTAATGGTGCCTTTCCGACACTAATATGAAAGAATCTATATTAATTGCTTTCTGATACTGGTCACACAGCCACAACATTCTCTCTTAGGCTTACCTGACACTTATCAAATTTTAATACAATTCAGACACATATTGATCGTCACATCACAAGAAGCGACATCATGACTATTAATATTAAACAAGTACTGGCAAATAACTTATAGCTCTAAATAATGATAGTCGAAAGTATTTGAATTCAAAATATTATCAACTTTGGATAGTTTCTTTATGAATTTGATGTGGATCTACGACAGCTGATACGCAAACTCGAAAATATATAATAAAAAATTAACAGATTCTATTATGCGTGAAATTCAGTCAAATGTTTTTCAATAATTTCAGCAATACATTTTTGTAAAAAAATATCACCAGCGATACATTTTTGAAGAAAACATTACGGGCAATAAAAAAATTTGTTGGCTATATATAACTCATTGAGGTTTATATGCCGTAAAAAAAAACAAAAAAACAATCAACAACCTTCTGACTTGACACCTGGATTTATGATCACCGATGTTCAATTTAACATTTGAAACGAATGGCCTCTGATTGTGTCCTTCTTCATGCAAATATGTAATGAATTATATATTTTATGACTTGGTTACGGACGAGAGAATAGATTAAAGGTACCTCGTGAGATTCAGGAAACTGCATCTCCGACGTTAATATGAAAGAATCTATATTAATTTATTTCTGATACTGGTCACACAGCCACAACATTCTCTCGTAGGATAACCTGGCACTTATCAAATCTTAATACAATTCAGACACATATTGATCGCCACATCACAAAAAACGACGTCATATTAATATTAAACAAGTATTGGCAAATAATGTTAAAATATAGCTATAAGCTTATAAGTAATGATAGTCGAAAGTATTTGAATTGAAAATATTATCATCTTTGGATAGTTTCTTTATGAATTTGATCTGGATCTACGACAGCTGATACGCAAACTTGAAAATGTATAATAAAAAAATTAATAGATTCCATTATGGGTGAAATTCAGTTAAACGTCTTTCAATAAATTTGTAAGCATACATTATACATATACATTCGGGGGGGGCTAAATATTTGTACACATATAAATTTTTAATTTATTGTATTTCCAACGAATGAATAAATCTACTTTTCATATAATTAATTGTACACAGACGCATAATAACGAAATATACATAGAAAAAATAAAAAATAAATCCCATTTATCCATTTTTAATCGTTGAAAAAAGTATTCATAAAACAATACTTTTTAGAATAGGCATTATTCACTTCTTAAGCAACCAACCTCTTCTTGGAGTTGTAAATTAATGATTTACAAATTTTAGTTGGTATTTTGTCCAATTTTTCTTTGCATGTGATCTTCAGATCCGGGCTGTTTTTGGAGCTCTTGATTGGATTTGAATTTTCAAATAACACCACAGAAAACATATTAGATCATTGTCAGATTTAGTCCATTTCATAATATATATATATATATATATATATATATATATATATATATATATATATATATATTAAGTAAACAGTATTAATCTACTTTTTTTTACATTGAGGCCGGTAAATGAAATTAATAATATTTATTTAAGAAACAGGCCATTTACTTAAATAAACGACCGCACGCTTCTCAAAAAATTTCTTACAATTAACAATAACACATTTATAAAAAACATATTTCAGATTACATCTATTCTTTCGTTGTCCTGTTATTACCAAGAAGTAAAAACAAAACAAATCTATTTCCATACCTGATGATGTATGTATGAACAGATGAAAGCTTGTAAAAAACTAAAAAAGACCTTATGCAACTGGAATTTATAAACAGGGATCATAACATTCATTTACAGGTTCGGGGTTAATGTAATTTATTAAATTTGTTTGCGAAGATGTATTCTCGACATTTAAATCATTAACTTCTCTATCTGTTTTTTGTATGAATGATTCATGTAATGTAAATTGAACTGCACCACATACTTGATATATATATATATATATATATATATATATATATATATATATATATATATATATTCTGTTTACACGTTTTCTTTCATACAATTATTTAAGTAAATGCTCTGTTTTTAGTTGAACATTATGAATGACATTTACCATACAGCGTCCAAGAAATTTCGGAAATTTTTTAGTCTATCTAATATAGAATTTTTCAATATTAGGAATCTCAATAGATGAAGTAGTTCATTGGTATACTATAGATTCTGTGAGACATTCATTATTCAAAGGACAATTTACAGGATACCTACAGTTGCATAATTTTTCTTTATTCTTTTTTTATTTCTGAATCAGTATTGCTTTGATTCTGGCTAAAGTATTTATTTAAACTTTTATTATTATATTTTTTATAATTATTTCTAAATTTTCAGTATAACTATAACTAAATAATAGGGTATTTTTATTAAAATTTTGTCAAGTGTATTATTTCTAGGAAATTAAAGCAAGAAATGTATTAGGCACACATCCCCGCTCAACCAAATGGTTAGTAGTAAGTTAGGACATAAAATTCTTGCTAATATGGAAAAATTCTATATTGGATCCACTAAAAATGAATTTAAAGTAAGATGAAGCCAACATCTGATTTCATTTAGTAATATTAATTATCGCAACGACACATCCCTATCCAAATATTTTGGTACTTAAAAGAAACAAATAAAACACCTACAGTAAAATGGAAAGTAATAAAAAACGAGAACATGTAGATCGTTAAATAATCCATGTCCCTTTCGCCTACATGAAAAATTATATATTATTATGTTTCTGAAAAATAAAGATTTATTCAATCAAAGAAATGAAATTGCAATTTTCTGTAGATATTGTATTATATTTTCTTTAAAAAGTAATTAAAAAAATTGAATAATTATATATCTATTATTAATTCATAAATAAAATAGTTTATTAAGGCGTAATTAAATTCTAATATTTTAATTTTACAATACCGTATATAGTTTATAAAATAATAAATGTAGTATTTTAGATCTTCATAAATTAAAATATAAATATATAATTTAATCATATTCGAAAGCCCCTTCAAGAAAATTCCAATGTATTTTATAAAATAAATAAATAAATATGCCAAATGTATTGTAGTGTATCCTCAATAAACCAGACTGTGATGACACGTTCTTATA